CCTCTCGGACCCGTACTTCGTCGCAGCTCCCGAATCCGCCCCTTTCTGATTAACTCTAATATTGTAATTAAGGAGTCGAACCGCCAAACCGCTCCGCTCCATATCTCCGTTCCTCGGCGTCCCGACGCTCCGCATCCGCGTCCAACAGCCGGTTCTTTTGTGCCCCTCTCCGCCGCGATGACGGCGCTGATGACGGCGATGCTCTTCTGTCGCTTAAATTAACTCGGGTCGTTTTCTTATTCACGACACACACACGCGGATCTCGCGTTGTAAATTAGCAGGCGGCTGGGTGGGGGATGGAGTGAGGTGTCGACGTGAGATAACTCGTAGATTTGTTTAACTGACAAAGGGGTTTGATGAATAAATTTCGGGTTTGCGAGGGATAATAGGCGTTTGTTTGGCGTTAATAACCGTTCGTTTGATTCAAATGATTGTTTGTTTAGAACTAATAAATTTGAAGAAGACCTACATATATTAGAGTAGGGGTTTGATGAATAAATTTCGGGTTTGCGAGGGATAATAAGCGTTTGTTTGGCGTTAATAACCGTTCGTTTGATTTAAATGACTGTTTGTTTAGATCTAATAAATTTGAAGAAGACCTATATATATTAGAGTAGGGGTTTGATGAATAAATTTCGGGTTTGTGGAGGGATAATAATCGTTTGTTTGGCGTTAATAACCGTTCTTTTGATTTAAATGATTGTTTGTTTAGATCTAATAAATTAGAAGAAGACCTACATACAGTAGATTTGCACCATCATTGAACCTCATCAGACAATATTAACACTTTTATCCCTAAAATAATTCAGATATTTACTTATGGTTACCAAGTTTGTAGTTCTAGCAAATTAGTTTGAATTTCGGATTTAGTAGCGGATAATAAACGTTTGTTTGATTTAAGTACGGTTTTTTAGTTGAAATATTCATTTGGTTGTATATAATAAATATCATTTAGGTCTACAAGTCATACATAATTTAGGTTATGCATATTCCAATACATATTTAGCTTATATTTGTAATTGATTTTATCAGTTGATTGTTTCAATTTAATAATCATGATTGGCCAGCATGACATAATTTTGACGGTAATTGTAATGCACTGATAAAGTGTTACATTTGAAATAGCTTAAATTTGTTTTGGTACTGTATATCAAGGTTTTATTTGATCCGTTTTTTGATAATCATTTGTTTGATTTAAATAGTTGTTTGATAAAGCCTAATAAATTTCGCTTTTATTCGATCCGATTTAATAAGTGTATATAGTAGCACTTAATAAAAGATGACTTTATTCATAGTGCATTGTGAATTTCAGGTAAAGCGCTTTTATTCAAGAATATACTCGTTCAGGGGTGACATAGCGGATGGAGTAACAGATAATAAACGTTTATTTGATTCAAATACTCGCTTATTTAGTTGAAATGATTATTTGGTTGGATTATATTGGATTTAGTAAATATTATTTAGGCCTAGCTAATCAATAATAATTAATAGCTAGCGTGACATAATTTTAACGGTAATTTCAATGCACTGATAAAGTGTTACATTAGGAATACCTTAAATTTGCTTTGGTATTGGAAATCAAGGTTTTATTTGATCCAAATAACCATTTGTTTGATTCAAATGGTTGTTTGGTAAAATCTAATAAATGTCGCTTTTAAGAGATTCAATTTAATAAGTGTATATAATAGCACTTTGTAAATGATGACTAGGGTCCAGAAATGTGTGCCATAATGCATGGTCGACACTATAAAACTAGATAATGAAAGTATAAACGGAATGTTTTAAGCGCCTTGTAAATTATTCGCGCGTCTACTTCTTGCCCGTGCTACGTACGGCACTGACTCTGCCCGACAACGCGCCGGGACTCGCGTATGCGCGGTAGTACGCGATCACGTTGCGGGGGTGCAGGAGAGTTAAACGCAGTTTAACACGCGTTATGGCAAACATTTCAGGTAAAGCGTAGAACTTATTCAAGAATGTGCTCGACCAACTTGTTCATGGTTGACGTAGATCGTTTTGAAAATAAATTTCGACTTTCCCGCGGTAAATTAAAACATATAGACGAACGTTGCGCTCCCTCGCGTATAGTGCATTACCGGTAAATAAAGTTTAATTTGCATTTATTCCGAAAACCCGATGGTGATCTCCGATTATCATTAAACAATTACCGAGTCGGCTTTAAACAACTAAAAACGGTAATTCAATTCACTGTCCGCGTTCGGCCTACGACTGAAATTAATTAAAACGTTCCGGGTGTTTATGCTAATAATTCGTTACGATGGCGACGGTTGCAACCGTCTTGCAGATCCGCTGTTATGAAATATTTTTTGTAGGGTTGTTTTTTTTAATTCGCCGCATTCGGTTTTGTTTCTACGGTCCACCATTATACCCATAATTTTTCGCTTTACAGAAAATAAATATGCAGGAGGACGACTAAATGAGTGTACAGGCCTCGCTTTGACCTCATGGGTTTGGCCATATGATCCAGTCCAGCTCAGTTGGTGTTTGCCTGATTAGATATCTAGGAAGTAGCGGTTTGTTTTGGGGCAAGTGACGAGCTGCCAATGGTTAGGGAGTTATAGCTAGTCATTTCATTTTGGTGTCGCGCCAAATTGAGAGTTCCCTTTCTATGCACACTTCCTGTTTTCCTGAACAAAGTCACATAAATAGTATAAACACTTGCTGAAACTGATCGAAATCCAGGACTATGTGTCGAAATTCTTTTTTCAAAGTCCTGAATGGCATCCATGTTGAATAAACCAATTGGCCATCAGGCCTTCTACCATTTCTAAAGTAACTCTCGATTATAAAACCTTTTCGTTCGCGTGAATATACCATATTTATTATTGTAACGTTTTAATCAAACTCGGGTTTTAATCATTTTATTGTACGAAAACACAATAACGATTTAAACTACTGACCAACACTAATACTAATTTATACACAATAATTTATATCCGAATTCATATTGGCGTACCTTTTACAAAACGCGAACCGCACGTATTTATTTTGAAGACTGACTGTTCCCGGCGCTCCCAGAATACGCCGACTACTGGAGAAACGACTCTACGTGGTAATGTTTCGCGGTGAGTCACTTGTTGGCATCTTGTCGTCTCGCTATATTATTATTATTTTTTTAATGATAAAAACTTAATAACTTGACAGTTCTAAGAGTGGTAATTCCAGACATGCGGGGTTGATTCCACGCCATACTTTGAGGTAAATGTTTTGTCTTACGATACGTTGTTATTTTTAAAATTAAAAGCGAATTGGGGAACCATATTTAGAGGTTTCGAGCAGCGCAATCTGGGATTATTATTTTTTTCTCGTAGTGCCAAATTGACTCGTTCGATTGCGAGCATGTGACAAAACGGAAAGGCCTCGATTGGTCTCCGCTACGCGACAACAGTCCGAATTAATTCGACGGAATGAATTAATTATTTCGCCCGGCCATTATCGCCCGTCTAGGTTGAGACAAAACCCGGAATCGCTACGAGTAAATCACCCAGAGGTCGCCACCTCCAGAGGCGAGTCGTGAGTTTTATAGATGGGAGAGTGGACATCAAAAACCCATATTAGTTAAATTGAAGACGAATATCGCCTCCTAAAGACCCTAAAGACGTAGGAGGCGATGCCCTATACTCCTGTGCACGAAATTATATTATTTTTTATGAGACTGGAAGTTTTAGATCTCTAGAATTTTCTAAATGGAATTTTAATACTTCATCGTATTTCGCAATCAAATCCATGCTTGTAATTTGAAGAACTTCCAAACTCATTGTGACCCCTAGAACCAAATTGCAGGTGCCCTCCAAGGAATCTACCTATATAAACTTTTTTTATAGATGTGATGTCTTTATTAATTTATGAAGGTTTTTTAAATCGTATAGTCTATATTTATTTATTCTTTTTTCAAGACGAAAAAGTAGACACGGCCAGCAAGATAAGAGATTTTGTTGCACAAGTGGTTAATTATTCACACCATTTATAATTTTAAGTTTGAAAATGCTGCCTGCACATATTAGTCTGTGTTTTCAATTTGTAAATTTTAAATTTCATTAGTTATTTTATAACTTATATTATTAGAGCTCGTATGTTAATAAAATAGATGCGTACTTTACCAGGGGCGGCTTTAGGATACCGCTATCAGTAATACTAAGAAATCCTAAACAGGTCTTCCCTTATACATGTGATTGTGACTGTTGTAGCACAACTAATCGGCAAATGAACCATAGTCACAAAACACAGAACTTTTATACATACGTTAACCAAGGCTACAACGTGTCGTTCAACGTCTACAGACGTAACTGGGCATATTTAAATTGAGTAAAGTTTTGTAACGAAGGCACATTTCTATGTTGTTCAGAAACATCCACTTAACATACCACTCCCTAACGGTTTTGGCAATTCGGTGGAGCCCATGTTCCAAACACGTAACATGGATTAAATTAGTATGTCTTTTTTTAGGCGCCGTTGCCGGCCAACAGCCTTCATATAGGCTGCCCCGTTCATCAGTAGCAACAATACATTACGTTTATTTACTTCAAAGTTTTCCTCGCTCCATAGTGACTGTAGACTGCTTGGCACACACTCACTAATTTTCGCATTTGTAATTTAAAGCACCCTTGAAGATATCAAATGCCCTTCCATGGCTTTTGCCTCATCCATTCCCCCAACCACTACGTTAGCTATGTTCTGTTCTTTAACATCCGTCGTTTCGTCAATACGAAACCATATAGGTTTATCGCGCAATTCCAAGACGATATTTTTTTATGCCCGCACACAATGGTGCTACGTTGTTTCTACGTTGTTTCTCTAAGAGTTGTTTCTGCAGGCAGACTAACTTCGCCGTACTTTCCACTCACGGCGTTTTAACTAAATCCAAGCTAAATTGTCTCTGTCTGTCTCGCGCACTCATACTACCACTTACACGAGCTTTATATTTGTCAATGTTTTGTAATTTTTACGTCGGTAAAGTATTACGTACAACGAAGTTCACTGCCATTATACCGGCGATAGCTCAGTGGGTAAAGCGCCAGGTGAGAAGATGGCGATTACTCCGAGAGCTATTATCCGCGCGGGTTCGAATCCCGCCTGTGGCAATTGGCACCTGTCACAGGGTTTGGTTGTGTGTCCTACGTCTTTTTCATGCGTATTCTCCCTCTGCACAGTTGTAATAACTGTTAGAGGGAGAATGTCATTTCTGTGGTATGATTTATTTTATTTTTATTATTAAAATTCAATAGGAGTTGACGATGTACTTTATTAATGTTAAGGCCGGCCCTGGAATCTATTATTAAAATACGGGCTTTACTTATAACTGCGACATACATCATATAGCTTGTACATGACCGGTGTGAAAACAGCCACGGTCGTCCATCCACAGATTTAATAATACAAGTATCTCACAATTTTACCATTTCAAAAATTATTTTCCACGTCGGTGTGCTATTTTATGACATTTAGTAATGCTGGCAATTACACAAAAAAATGGGAGGGTGGAAACTACCCTTAAAATTTTAAAATCCACATCTTATACAAATGCAGATGTCGATTAAATTTTTTCACGTAAATTGCTTAATTATGATGTTGTAAAACCCACCCACACATTGAAATCATTTCCCGGGCCGTAATAAGGGTGCATCAACCCCTAGAAGTATTAAAATTACTCCAGCCACATTTGAAGATGTCGGGTAAATTTTTTCACGTAAATGGCTTTATTTTACAGTTAGCTAACCAGCGTATAGGCTGAAATAATTTCCCGGGCCGTAATAAGGGTGCATCAACCCTTAGAAGTATTAAATTACTCCAGCCACATTTGAAGATGTCGGGTAAATTTTTCACGTAAATGGCTTTATTTTACAGTTAGCTAACCAGCGTATAGGCTGAAATAATTTCCCGGGCCGTAATAAGGGTGCATCAACCCTTAGAAGTATTAAATTACTCCAGCCACATTTGAAGATGTCGGGTAAATTTTTTTCACGTAAATGGCTTTATTTTACAGTTACCTAACCAGCCTATAGGATGAAATCATTTCCCGGGCCGTAATAAGGGTGCATCAACCCCTAGACGTATTAAAATTTTTATATGTACGAATATTTTTTGTTAAGTAATTGTATGTTACTCATATTTAGTGATACATAAATAAAGCCATTTACGTGAAAAAATTTACCCGACATCTTCAAATATGGCTGGAGTAATTTTAATACTTCTAGGGGTTGATGTACCCTTATTACGGCCCGGGAAATGATTTCAATGTGTGGGTGGGTTTTACAACATCATAATTAAGCAATTTACGTGAAAAAATTTAATCGACATCTGCATTTGTATAACATGTGGATTTTAAAATTTTAAGGGTAGTTTCCACCCTCCCATTTTTTTTGTGTAATTGCCAGCATTACCGAAAGTCATAAAATAGCACACCATCGTGGAAAATAATTTAGGAATGATAAAATTGTGAAATAATTGTATTATTAAATCTGTGGATGGACGACCGTGGCTGTTTTCACACCGGTTTGTACATGTACATTTTACAAGAAGACTCAAAAAAGTTGTGTTTCCCTAGTTCCCATGGAAAACACGCCCCTGTCTCTAACCCGACGCCCACGCTTCGTGCACGCCAAAAAAACCCATTTAAATAATGCAATTGGATTCCCACTTTCCCACGGACAAACGCTTTAAAAATTTCCCAATCAATTAACCCGCCGGCCGGAGCGCCTCAAAGTGCTCCGCTCTCTCTCTCCGGGAGTATTTGCCCGATAAAAAAATTCCGTAGTACACCTAATAAAATTCGCTCCTCAATTGAATTTTAAATCTAATTTCTGCACAGTAGGTGTTCCCCGACTTTATTCGGGCCGTCCCGGGACTCCGACGGGCGTTCGCCGCGTCCCCCGTCCGTCGGCGGTTTGCGGGACGAAGGGGGTGGGGGTAGAGGGGGCGGAATCGATTTTTCCGTTCCGGCGTTTCGATGCATTTTGCGTCCCTCGGACAAATAATTGTTAATTAGTTCCCATCGGCTCTGTTTTCTGAAGCGCGTGTCGCTTTGGAAAACAAAATGGAATTTTCCGCGCAAAACCTCAAAAGAGTGCAATTGTAACTTAAAATGCATTTAAACGCAAGTCGAACATACCGATAGGGGGAATAGGATACATTCCTTGGCCCCTCTTGCCAAAAAAAAAAATATGGATGTTGCAAATGAATACTTGTTGCAATCTAGTTGCCACATTAACAAGATTTTAGTGTATCTGTTGAAGACAAATTACGTTATGACTAGGGTCCGTGGGTTAATAGTACATTCCAGGACCGGTCTTCACGCGATTGGAATACTGCTATATGTACCGCATTAATAAAGTACCTACATCATCAACTGTATATATGTACTGTACATAGTACAATCGTAGTTCAATCAAATAACGCCATTATATTCCGTAATACAACCCGTCTAGCCGTGTTGTGCGCCCCACTCAACCAAGTTACGGCACGTTTCAAAGGTGACGAACGTGAACATACTTTACACTTATTGTTAGTATTAGTTGCACTGTGCTGGTCGATGGTGGATCATTGGTGGAGCGTTGAATAACCAATTGTGCGGAACTAACCTTTAAGGGGTTACCTGCGGTCATAAAATTTGAAAAAATCGATTTTTGGAAAATGTCACAGTGCGAAAGTATGGTCTTTTGACTATTGAATTCCAATGTTTAAAGTCGGTACGAGAATAGGGACCTATTTTTGTCGACCGCCAACGCGAACCCCGGCGCGCGGCGCTCGCTGCCAGCCCGACAGCTGTCAGCTCTATCTCTTATTATTCGTGCTGGCCTGCTGGCTTGTTTAAAAGATCCCTACCGCGAAAACTCCGCCATTTTTTACTATATATATATATTCATAAAAATTCGCGAATAAAGTTTAAGAATAAAGTATTTAAACGTACCTACTAATTGTTGTTTTAATCTACTGCGTACTTTCAGAGAACAAAAATGTCAAAAATAAGGTCCAGAGTAAGCCCTTAAAAGCAGTGTATAAAGTTCGCGTAAGTGGTGGTGTGGGTGTGCGAGAGAGACAGACAATTTAATTTGGATTTAGTCACAATGAAGGTAGCGTGTAATATTAAACGACGGAAGGACAGAATATAGCTAACGTAGTGGTTGGGGGACTGGATGAGACAAAAGCCGCAGAAGGATTTGATTTGCTTCATGGGTGTTAGAAAGCGCAAATGCGGAAACAATTAGTGAGTGTGTGACTAGCAGTCTAGAGTCACTATCGGGCGAGGAGAACTTTGAAGTAAATAAAAGCCAATGTGCTAATTTAATCCAGGTTATTGATAATTTATGGAAACTCGAGTGGCAGTACGGACACGTTATAGCGTCGGTTACCGTGTGTAAGCAAGTTCTGTGTCTTGTGACTATGGTTCATTTGCCAGTTAGTTGAGCTACAACAATCACCATACCGTATATGACCTGTTTAACATTTCGTAGTGTCACTGATTGTGGTATCCTGGATCCGTCCCTGGTAAAGTACGCATATATAAGAATTGTAAAAAACCCGATTACAAGTAAGTGAATTACTATCATAATTAAATTGGCCTTAACATAAATTCTAACGATTTGAATTTTAAAAAAAATGGATCTGCAAACATGAATAAGTTTAGTACGAAGTTACTATGAATATGGTAGAAATTATTACAATGTTGGATAACGACAATTTCGTATGAGGATGGGTTTGAGAGCAGGTCCCTGTAAAATGAAAGCCTACCGTAATTTGATTAGTAAATTTGATAGAACACAGGGTCTGTAATCGAGATCCTGACATTTAAAAAAAGCATGGCCACCAAGGTGGCCTGATCTGAAAGCGATTCTGTTAGGAAGTTTATGTAAGTAATTAATTGGTCTGAAGCCTTTTACTTTAACCAATAAAATTTTTACGTACATTAAGTTTCAGACGTTCCATCTGGATACATGGATGCTGGCTATTCTGTATACTTATCTCTCAAATCTGCAATAATGTTCCAAAGGACTTTCAGTTTGGAGTGGGTGAAGATGACATTCGTATAACGCCACAGTCACTTTGATTTTATGATTAACTAGGTTTTCAAAGGACGTTGCAAGATGAAGAACCTAAATTATTTCCCAAAAATGGACATATTCCACGTGTGATTTGAAACGAGAACCTATGGACGAGTTAGGCGTGCCACCCTGTATCTCCTATCGATTTTCTCCTTTCCACGGAGCGGAAGAGAGACGGGGCTGTGGCGCCAGCGCAAGGTAGATCGCTCCCCAGCGCGCGGCCAACTTTTTTTTAAATATCTCCAAATAAATGTCACTTAACGTGTGGCAAGCCAACGACCTAATGAAAATAAAGGGCTTATATAAAGATGCGGCACTTAAGGGAAAATTGAATCTCCTTAATGCCGTCGCGTTTATTAGGGCACTTCTTTTGTTTTAGTAAATCTCGGGGCGCGCTCTCTCGGGGAGTTATTTTTTAAAATCCGCTTACTCGGCATCGCGTTACGGCTCACTTGCGCGCGGCATAGTCGAAACAGAAGGCGTTTTCCGTATTAAAAAAAAAGTGGACGTTTTCCACGAAACACCGAACTACTATACTTTTCTCGACGTGCGTTTCGCCAACTAAGTTGGCATCTGCAGGAGAAGATTAAAACTAAATTCTAACCTACACACTTACTCTATTTATACCTAATTTGCTGCCACGGTTCACTGAACCGTAACATCTGTCTTTGTTTGTCAGAGCAAACAGTGGACTGGTGGGTATTGGACCATTGTCCTTATTCATACTGCTGTTACACTTAATCATTTCTAAACTTTCAAAAGCATCCAACTGTCTACTGTTTGTTACATTTCTAATTAATTTTAAATTATTTTTGTCTATCCTCTGGTTGTTGTCAAAAGCATGTTGGGCAACGCAAGATTTTTCCGTTCTGCCATATTTCAAATGAGCCATGTGTTCTTTAAATCCTGTCAAAATAGAATTTTTTGTTTGCCCAATATACCTTTGATTACAGTCTTTACAACTTATTTCGTATATTCCTGACTTTTCGTTATTGCTGATTTTGTCTTTGGGGTTACCCAAAAGCGTCTGTATTTTATTTTTA